CTCTCTAACAGTGAAGGGGATATTATATGTTGCCCCTTGCCCAAGTGGTTCAGGAAGTTGGGTTGAGGCCGCCACTGCTTTTCCTCGATGAGGGTTGGGGAAGATGGAAATTTAAAGGGAGGTGGTGCAGCTACTGGCCTAATTTACAGGAATATTCTATGTGACCATCTTTTTGACTTTTATTTTTCTTTATTTTGCAGAGTGCCAGAGTGTTGGAAGCAGGAAGCATCAGGATCTCAGGGAATGTGATCACTTCAACAGATGGAAAACTGTTGATGTCAGCAAATGCAGTCGGGCTGGGGACTTCTTTGCTAGACTCCTATGATCGGTTGGTAGTTAATGGCCCCATACGCATTGCAGATGGAGGTACAAAACCCCTTTGTGTCGATGGAAGGAGGGGAATGATATGGCATGAGTTTGGCGAGGAGGGGCTTGCAGACACACTGGAAATATGTGCAAAGAACAGAAACGATGGTTCGTTCTCTCTCTCTCTCTCTCTCTCTCTCTCTCTCTCTCTCTCTCTCTCACACACACACACACACACACACACACACACACACACACACACACACACAAAATGTCCTGTTTGAGTTGTTTTTGTTACTTTTCACACCCCATCCTGAAAGGTCTGATACTCCATTCCTGAAGTCCAGAAACCGTTGCCCAGGCTTGTTTTCCTTGACAATGAAATTTGTTATAACCTCCCCCAGTACCCCTCTGATTAAAAAAAAGAAAAATTCACCCCCCACAAGACTCCGCCCACCCTTCCTCGCATCAATTTCCCAGGCGCACACCTACCCCCCCTGTCCTACTCTAGTGTTAACCTCCTGGGACCATCACCCATCACCTGACCAGACAGCAGTGGCAGGCACCCGGGCTGAGCTGCAGGAACCCTTGCTCAGCCCCAGTTGAAGAGGAGTCACACATGCCCGTAATGGTTGTACAGGTACTTTGGGAGCTAGGTATGAACATGCTACTGAAGGCCTTCATCAGGGGGCTTGGACTCCTTGGAGTGTCCCCCAAACTAGACCTGGGTACCACAGTAGATTCTTTAGCATGCACTTCTAGGTATCACAGGTGGTGCCTAATGCCGTGGCCCTGGCCAAGGCCTAACCTATGACACGCAAGGGGCAACCCTAACTTCCCTAAGACTCCAATCTACCACAGCCGACTTGATAGCCTAGTTGATTGGTGAGTTGATGGGTGAGTTGTTAGGTGAATTGATAGGTGAGTTGATGGTATTAGCCTTTTTTAATTGCTAATATGAGACAGAGAGCCCAAGAATCCCAAGATCCTCCGCTCCCTCATATGATGTAAACAAGTACTAACTACGATTTCGTCAAAACGAACATTTTTTTATTTTTTGAACGAAATTGGAACTTCATTTTTTTCGCTTTTTTTTTCACTTTCTAGCAGTTTTAGTATCACAGTATATAGGACCCCATGGGTTTAAAAGTGGATGTACATCGCCTAAAATGGTCAGTTTTTGCTTGAGAACAACGTTTGTGTGATATTCATTGTGTGCACGTAGTTTAATTTTCCAGTTTTTTCAAGGTTTTCTCACCATTTTTTAAACTTTCGAAGATTGTTTTATTAACATTTTCTCCTTTTTTTTGCTAAATCGATCGGAAATGGCATCAAATAAGCATTTTCGTTTGTGTTTGCTACGGATTCATCAGCAATGTTGTATTTTTTTTTGAAATTTGCATCGTTATGGTCATAAAATAAGATTGTCAATGCATTTTGCATCTGTAAATCTTGCTTTTTTTTTAATATGTGGAAAVAGATCACCACGCGAAAAAATAGAGAGTGAGCCCTTTGAGGCCCTTTGCACACCACGCGAAAAAAAAAAAACAAAAAAACACTATAAAACTAATAATACATAACCTCGAATTCGACGGAGAGGGTCACCTCCTCCCCATTGCTCTCACAAAATGACTTTCAATGTTTGGAACACTTGTCGGCTATCACCAACTTGCTATGCTACTGGTTGCTATCCTTCGTCCCGCGAAGGATAAGAGGTAAAAAGTACCTTCCGTGCTTCAATCGTTCACAGTATGGACAATCTACGACGATCTTTCTTCTGCCGCCCACTAACTACACTTCTTTTTGTCCCGATCGATGATATTGCTTTGACAAAGTCAATTCATCTGTGTCACATCTTCTGTGCTCGACTGTGATTACAATCTCCTCACATTTATCAAAAAGGTGGTGCAATTGCGCATGCACCAAACTGTCTACCCTGTACACTAACTCGTCCCTAAGTGCCGCATCGATTTCTAACCGATTTCGAAAATGCTCGAGTTTGCGTGAACCTTCGGGGTCCCAAAATTATTCCCGAGCAGTGAACAACACGTTCATTGTCGTGCCGGTGATCTTCACTGCTGTAAAAAGTGTCACTACGGCCTTGCCTCTGTTCCATATTCGGATTCGACCGTAGTAGTCCATCATCACCGGTGCGAGCAATGCTCTTCTCCCGATGCAACGCCACGCGCATACTTTTTGTTCAAATTTGTCTTTGGCATCCCAGTCCTRTTTCCTGCATACCTCCCTCCAGTTTGCYAGCATCTCCAGAGGATCCACAACGTCATTTGTCGACATAATGACGCACGCCTCATCCAACTSAGTGTACAGGTACCAAACATTCGATCCATTGTCGACGACGACTGTCTCCTCTCCGTTGACGAGACCCATGATCGGCAGAAACTCTCCATCAGGCCCAACTTCTTCTTCGACATTCATGTAACCATAATTCACAAAGTCTTCTATGATATCGACCGACCAAATGTTAGTCCCTAAAATAATCAGATCCTCAATTGTCGACGGAGCGTGATGAGGGGATCCGCTTCCATGCGAGCTTGGTTGACCGGCTTCCATCTTGCAAGTTTAGCGCGTAGACGATCAAAATTCCCGATAAAAACAGAAAAAAACGCCGGACCCGCTATATAAACATCGTCTCTAACTGTATCCTTTAAGCAGGAGGTCTGATAACCTGTCCGGTTCTTGTGACATATGGGGTTTGTTGCGGACGAGGTCGTTGACTGAAGCCATACAGAGCATTCATAGTCGATCCATATACGTGGATCTGCGGCTTCTGCTTTGTTGCATTTTTCGAAAACACCGACATGTATTTCAACCTAACGAACCTTTCCGTTCCTGCTAAGGACTTCCCAATAGCGTCTCGTACGGCCGCCGCTTTCTCTTCCAGCTGTTGCCACAATGCAGGATTTTCCATATGGCCTGCCCTCACTAGATTTGACCGTCCATCTGGATCCCAGCGACGAGGCAACCACCATCCCCGTGGCGGCTGAATAAAGAGCTGGTTCCGTGATACACACACAACTGCATCTACGAGGTTCCTAGATTTGTTTGAAGAAGCGACACATAGCACTCTTGTGAATTCATATCCGGTAAGACTCAACCGCACGCAAGAGTATGACACAGCTCGTGGATATATCCCTGGGCAACGCAACGGGTACTGCTCCAAGAATGAACAATGATTAGCTGTGTCTATTAGCTCTTGTTTCAACGAAGTCCTCCAAGTTCGTGGCGAACTCGTGATGTACTCGAAGTCGAGGCGAGTGATACAGCGGTCAATGTTGTGGTATGCTTTACGCAAACGGGTGAGGAAAACAGGCTTGAGAAGACGATCAGACACTGAAACTGGACTCCCGAACTCCAACATATTTGCAAACTTGTAATGGCTTGCCCAAGGGCAGACACTCTCCATCGCGTTCCAATAACTATAGCTCAATTGGTTAAAATGTCGATTCATATATGGGACGACGGTCATCTATGGGTCCTCTTCGAAATCCTCTGTTGTTGCTCCGTGAAGCCAAGTATGACCATTATAACGCCGCACCGCTATCGCACAAGGAGGAAATGGTTTTGTTGAGCGTTTGTGTCTCTCGGTACTTCCACTGATGCTTGACGTTGATGTCCACGACATTATGCACCCCTACATAGCACACACACACGAGCGCCAAATCGAACGTGCAGACGCTCGTAAACATTGTTCGACCATTGGTAACTCCCCGATGAGGCTAACTCTCACTGATACTGTCAAACGTGGGACAAACGCGGGACCGTTCAAGACAGGATCCCTAAATATTGTTCGACCATTTGTAACTCCCCCTTGACAGAAGCTGATATTGTCAAACGCGGGACCATGCAAGGGACCGATTGCCCCTCTCTAGACAGGACCCCCTCCCACCCTCACCCCTCTCTAGACAGGACCCCATCCCTTCCTCACCCCTTCCTAAACAGTTTCGGTCGAGGGGTCCGAC